TGGTTTTTCAGAAATTGTTTAACAAATAAATTGTTGCCATATTGAATATTCTCTTTAGTTAAGAACCGTAGCCATTTTAAAAGTTCAAAAGTTTTCTGTATTTTCTTACGCATGCGTACCTAAACAGCGCTTTTTACTAATATCTAAACGACCGTGTATCGTTCATTTAGTCGGCAAATGTAGAGCATTTTGACATGTTAGTCGGTAAATTTAGACAGTCAGTCGGCAAATATCGTTATGGCAGTCGGCAAATTTTAAAAAACGAGGATCTTTTTTTTTATTTTTTTTTTATTTTTAAGTCAGCAAAAGTTGTAATGGCCGCTACGTCATCAGGCAGATCAACTAGTTGACGGTTACGCAACTAATATAAGATACATCTGAAACTTAGAATTTTTAAAATCTTAACAGGCTCACCATGCTTTTCAAAATCTTGCATTTTTTCTTAGCTAATAATACAACAAGAAGAAGGATGTGTTGATACTGCACTTTCTGTTTCAGAAAATATATAGGCCAATTTTATATCAAAAGCACAAAAAGTATTTTAAACTGAATAGCCTTAAAAAAAGATAATTTTCTCAAAATTTAAATGAGATTCAGACATGGTTTCTGTTAAGCCAATAAGAAACAATATGTTAACGCTACCATCTTTTGTATTACCTATCGCTTCCTCATAGCTAAACTTTTTTTTTTTGATATTATAGTTGAACACGTGTTGTGAAATAATTTTTAATAATGGTAGTATCAAAAGATACAACTCAAGCAATTAATACTGCTATTGAGGTACTTAGAAAGAAATTAATCGAACGCATTATTAAAGTCGAGAAAGAAAATGAAAGATTGAATACCAAAAATGAAAGTTTAAAAAAACAGTTAGCCGAAAAATGCAATCAAAATAACAACAAACCACTCTTTAGTAGTCTTATTAAAAAAACAAGAGAAGGAGCACCCCCTATTAGTGATTCAGAAACGAGATTATTAAATGCAATTTCAGCTGAAAAAAAAGAAAAGATCAAAAAAGAAAAAAATGTACTAGTGCTTGGATTAAAGGAATCGAAACGAAAAAGCAAGGATGAAATTAAAGAAGATGACGATGAAAGTGTTGGAGAAGTATTTGACGCTATTGGATTAGATAAATCTTGTATTGTCAAACATTTCAGGTTAAACAGTAGAGACAAAAATAGACCAGGACCACTAGTTATTGAACTAGTTGATCCATCATACCAGAAACAAGTTTTAAGCGTTGCTAGAGATTTAAATAAAGTTGAGGCATATAAAAATAAAGTATTTATCAATCCAGATCTAACGTATAGACAAAGAGGTGTCTTAAATTGCTACTTAGTGAAAGAAATAGTCTGAATAAAATAGAGGAAGGTAAAAGTTCAACATTTCGATTTGTTATCAGAAACGATATGCTGCAGAAAATTGAAATCAAAAAACTCTAAAAAGATTAATGCACCATCAAGTTTAATATTAAAACTCAGCGAAATAACGTGCTTATACATGAACGCAACTTCATTAAACAATAAGTTTGACGAACTAATTGAAGTGATTAACTCTAACAAAGCTAATGTAGTTATGATTTGTGAAACTTGGTGGAACAATGAGTCAGTAACTAATATCAATGGATACACCTTATTTAGAAGAGACAGAGGCATTGGTAGAGGTGGAGGAGTTTGTATATATGTACAAAACAATATAAAAGCGTATGAAGTTTCAGAAAAATATTTAAATGACCCTAATATAGAACAGATTTGGTGCGTTATTGAATTAGGAAGTGAAAAAGTATTATGTGGCAGTATGTACAGAACCGGAATTAGTAACATAAGTAATTGTATCAACATCACAAAGTCTATTAATTTTGCTCATTCAATGAATTTATTAAATAAATATACTGGAATCCTTATTTGTGGGGATTTTAATTTCAACGCAATCAAGTGGACAGAAGATTACTATGGCACACTAACTAGTGAGACTGACACACCAGCCAAAATTTTCTTAGAATGTTTAAACAATTGCTTCACCAACGTTTCAAAATAACATTGGGAATGAAACGAATGTACTGGATTTGATTATAGTTGAGAATAAAAATAGAGTTTATAAACTGGTACACCTTCCACCATTGGGAGGTATTAATCATGGTCATCACATTATTAAATTTAACTACAGTCATGAAGAGTGTATTGACAACATTGTACTTATAAAAGAAAAATTTAATTTTAATCGAGGGAAATTTGATAAATTAAATAATTATTTTAAAATCTTAAACTGGGACAATGAATTCAAAGGTTTAGAATTAAACAAATGTTACGAAAAATGGTTAAGCCTTTATGAAGAAGGATGTAAACTCTTTATTCCAATCATAAAATCGGGAAGCATTTAAATCAACACAAAACCATTCTGGATTAATAGAGAATTGAAAGCGCTGTCAAAAGAAAAAAGAAACGTTTGATTCAAATGTCGAAGGCAGAAATTCAGAGACAATTGTTTACTTGTAAAATACAAAGAGTTAAACAAGGTTTTAAAAAAAAAAGTGAATCAAAGAATGAAAGATTTTGAATATGATCTTGCTTTAAATTCAAAGTTTAACCCCAAGAAAGTTTATTCATATATTAACAATAAAAGTAAAGTCAAAGACAATCTAAGAGCAATCCAACTAAAAAATGGTAGCATCGAAACTGATTTAAAAATGATTGCAAATACATTGAATGGGTATTTTGCATCAGTATTCAATAAACCACAAACTTTATCTGCTCCAATAATAGATATAGAAACACAAAAAATCTGTAAAAATCCAGATTTTAATGCCTCTGTTGTTGAAGAATAGTTGAACAAACTGGACACTAATAAAGCAACTGGAATGGACAGAGTTCATCCAAAAGTTCTAAAAGAGTGCAAATCTACTTCAGCCAAACCAATATCGTTGTTGTTTAATAAATCATTTGAAAACGCTAAACTTCCGAAATTATGGTTGTGTGCAAATATCGTCCCCCTGTTTAAAAATGGTGACAAGTTGAATCCATGCAACTATAGACCTGTATCTTTAACACCTGTAGCTTGTAAAGTCATGGAAAAAATAATTAAAGATAAAATGATGAAACATTTAGTAGAAAATAAATTAATCAATAAAAACCAACATGGATTTGTAAATAATAAAAATTGTGTGACCAAGTTAATGGAATCTCTAGATTTTATCACAAGTTCAATTGATAATGGTTTGGATGTAATAGTTTTCGTTCTGGACTTAGCCAAAGCGTTTGGTTCAGTTGATCACGAAAGATTATTGTTAAAATTGAATGCTCTTGGTTTTAAATCAAAACTATTTGACTGGTGCCAGGGACTTTTAAAGAACAGACTTCAAAGAGTAGTGATAGGAAATAATAAATCAGAATGGGAAGAGGTCGTGAGTGGAGTACCACATGGATCAGTGCTAGAACCACTATTATTTGTAGTGTATATTAATGATATCTCCAACAAAATAAAATCAAGCTGTAAACTATTTGCTGACAACATGAAAATCCTTAGAGCAATAAAAAAAGATAATGATGTTATTGAGCTTCAACAAGATATAGACTTGTTGATGGAATGGTCGAATGAGTGGTTGATAAAATTCAACCAGCAAAAATGTAAGGTTATGATAATAGGAAATAGCCAGCACAAAGTTTTAATGAATAATACATCTTTATCCTACACAAGCATGGAAAAGGATTTAGGAGTGTACATTTCAGATGATTTGGAATGGAAACACCATGTAAATAAAGCAGTAAATAAAGCAAATCAAAAGCTAGGTCAGATCAAACACACTTTTAAATATTTAGACAAAAAAACAATGAAACTCTTGTTTATAGCCTTAGTACGTCCATATTTGGAATACGCAGCTCCTATCTGGTATCCTTACCGCCAGTATGATAAAGATAAACTAGAGTGTGTCCAACAAAGAGCTTCTAGAATTAAAATTTTGAAAGGATACAGTTATGAAGAGAGGTTAAAGAAGTTGGATTTACTATCGTTGGAGAACAGAAGAAGAAGGGGTGATTTGATACAAATGTTCAAATATTTGAAAGGGTACGATATTAAGTTTTTACACAAAACCCGAAATGTTAGATAACGGATTTAAAACTAGAGGTCACAATAGTAAACTGAGAAGGCAATATACAGGAAACATAAAACGACATAATTTTTTCACAAATAGAGTAGTAAACTGCAGCCGTGGCGCAGTGGTAACGCACTTGCCTCAGAAACGTAAGATCCTTGGTTCAAACCCCACCTCTGAGCAAGTTTTGCGACATCGGTTGGGAAGGAGGCGTGAACTTCCTATTAAATGCTCTTCCGCGGTGCTCTGTGATAAGACCGTAAAGACTTCTTGGGGCACCTAAATCAACTTAAAAAAAACAAAAAAAAAAAAACGACTGGAACAAAGAAGTTAAACTTCTGTTAGTTAATCAAGAAAATTCAATTTGCGATCAATTTCTTCCTCTTTAAAAACTTTGAGATTAGGAAAATTAGCTAATTTTGCAAATTTTATTCTTAAGAATAAAAATCTGTTTAACTATTTGTTTACTATTTTGTTTTTCAATATTAATCAATTCACACCTATTACGTCTTCTTTTCTAAAATTTCTTGGTAATTATTTATTTTATAAATATGTAACTATACTATTGTAAAAACTATATATACAAACATATATACAAAACATACATAAAAAACAATTTTAAAATGTATTTCACCTAAATAATATCTTTATAAATAAATATAAAATAATAAAATAAATCACCTAATAATAAAAATAATAAAATAAATCACCTAATAAATCTTAAAAAATAATAAAATAAATCACCTAATAAATCTTATTTTACAAACTATTCAAATATAAATATATAAAAATAATTTTTTAGATATTTTACTAAATACACTTATTGATAGTGCCGTTATTATATAATGTTTTTAGAAATAGTTTTTATTTTTTACATTAGAGACGTAATTAATATTTCTTTTTATTTTAGAGATGAATAAATTGCTTCAATACCCTCTTTTGATTTTATTTGCATTTTCACTTTATTTGTTGTCAACAAACTTTTATTTTAAAAATTTTTCTTATCAAGTCTATCAAACGCAAATAGCTCACAAACTTGGTAATATATCAAGAACTCTAACGGAAAAAAATTCTAACTTGGGATGTCTAAGAGAGCGTTTTAAAACAACGCTTCTCATTATTGTCTACAACTCTCCCATTTACGACAACATTTGGTTACTTCAAGACTTGTACGGTAAGCTTTTCACAAAGATTATTTTTTGTGGACCGGAACACCCATCGGCGCCTAACTTTATATTAAAAACTGTTACGTACAAAGGGTTTTTTACCTATGAAGAGTGTGCTGGCCGGACAATAAATATTTATCATAACTATACTGGATATTTACTAATAAACGATGACCTTTTTTTTAACATTTTAAATATAAAAAATTTTAGTTTATCAATGATATGGGAAGGTCCCATTCCGATTGCTCCAAAAAATCCTAATATAAAACTAACAGGTTGGAAGTGGGACGATCCTTGGGGCTTAAACAGCTGTGTTAAAGCATTAGACAAATCAATTTCTTTCAACTTTACAAACCTTCAAAAAGAAAAACCATATTTTTTTAAAATTGTTTCTGGGCAACATATTTGTTATGGTGCGAGGGCAGATATTTATTATATACCGGACAAAATGGCGGCAAACTTTAGCAAACTTGCAAAAATATTTAAAGAAGAAAATGTGTTTTTAGAAATTGCTATGCCAACTATAATAAGACTGCTTACAATTGACGTCGAAAGGTTAAATGGTATATACATGCCAGACGGCGTTACCGAAAGTAAAGCAGTTATAAATTCGTTCAGTTCAGATTTAGATTTTATACATCCTTTAAAACTGTCTTATGGTGCAAGATCTGCAGAAAACTTTGTTTTTTTAAAATACTACTCACTTCTTACATCTGCCCTTATTAAATGTTGATAGTTTTCATTTATAAAGTTATAACTACTATAACGTATTGCATACTTAAAATGTCATCTTTTTATATAAAAAATTATTTGATATCTCTTTTTCATCCTGATGAAATTATTGTTAAATTTTGTATCAATATTAATTGGAAATGAATTTAAAATTTTGTTAGAAATGTTCTACAAATGTAAAATATTCAAAAAATACAACTTTATATAATTGCATTTTTTGAGCTATAAAATATATTATAATGAAACTTAAAATCAAGTTATAAAAAATGATCTTAAATGTTTTTTTTAAAAAAAAACTATTTTTCCATAAACCGGGTAATACTGGGAGCTTTTTTTGAGGGTATTTTTATTGTGATTTTCAAATCACATAGTTTACTATGTTAAATATTAACCATATATATACCACTATCGTTTAAAGAATGTCATCGGTGCGTTCCATGTTTGGGTAAAGTATTTATTGTATTAAAACCACACTAAATTAGAACAAACGCCAAACTATATTCTTACGTGTAAGACTTATGTAGGCCACAAGTGGAAAGCATATCCCAGCCGGCACATTAAGTTGTAGATGCGCATTAGAAACTTATTTGAATACGCATCTTTATGATTTGAATGTTAACCATTTTATTGTGTCAAACACGCATTAATAATACGCTTCAGACGTGTTTAAAAAAGAGTTTGCATTGAAATATATACAGAGTACCTGCATTTGAAACTCTTTAAAATACGCGTAAATCACAGTTAGATATGATTCAATACGATGTTTTCTTTGTAGTAAACGTGCATTTAAAATTAATTAATAAAATTTATAAAAACTCATTAGAAAGAAATGTTGTTTTCAGAAATTATATATATATTCAGAGTTTGGAAGATCACTATATATTTAAACTAACTCCTGAAAAGCAGTTATTTCCTCACTGCAAATTATCGAGGGAATCAAGCATAAAACCTTAGCAGCAATGCCATTTGTCTTTTGGAATCGTATTTTGATTTCTGAAATAAAAGTATTGAGAAAAAGTATAATCAAGGCGTGTTTATAATATTCATGGGGACTCTTTGGCCGATGATAATATTCATGGGGACTCATATGGCCTGTCTCATAGTGATTCTGGGAATTGTTGGTTCTACAAATAGTTTACTTGTAGGTAAATTGCGTATAACTCTTTTTCAACATTTTTCTAGTCGATGTTTCAAATCATCGATTATTTCTTGAATGTTACTGTATGCATACACAATATCAGTTGTGCGCCCTTGTAACCTCTCTGTAAAATACGACAACGGGTGAAGTAAGCGGTACAAAGTTATAATATCAATTATGAATTCGAACTTAGTTAGTGCATTAAGGAGTGATTTGGTCACTCTTTTTCCTTGTGCGTTTCAATCCATACTAAACTCTATATTGAACTGTTCTAAATTAGAGTGTATTCCTAAAATAATCTCTAATGCCTTTGCTATCAATGGTATAGCTAAATAAAATTGTTCATTTGCAGCCTCTATTTTTGATCATCTTGTTTTGTACATCCCTACAAAATCTTTTTTCTTATAGTTGATTTACAACGGATCTCTAAAACATGCCCCAGCAAGCGCTCTCATTTCGAAAAGGTATTGAAATAAATGGATAAAATTCTGTATACCTCCAAAATGTTTTCAATGATTGGTATTTTTGATGTTGCTGCAATTGATAAATTCAAATTATGTGAGCTCAACTTGTTAGAATTGCTCTTGGTGATCCTTTTTAAAATATAGCTGGCAATACTTTTTTTACAAATTGAATGTTTGGTACGCCATTGTAACACTGGTCTCTACAAGAAACTAAAATCAATTCCTTTTTCGCTATAAAATTTCATCAAGCTTTCCCCAATATGTTTGCCTGGCATTCTGTCAAGATTCAAAAAGTCAAGAAATATTTCTCTAATTTCTTTTTCTCCGTTTACGTATCTCATACATACTAATAGAATTTGTTTGCAGTTGTTACCTCGTCTACTGAAATTGAATGGTAATTTGCAGCTTTGATTTTATTAATTAGCCGCTCTTTTATACATTCCTTTCCAATTATATCAATTAATTCATTTTGACTCTTGGGGCCAAGGTAGTTGACATCTTTGCGTAATGGCGTTTGTATATATGCATTAAGTTCGGCGTTATGGCAAGTTATTTCTTGCACAATTGCAAGAAAGTTTCGAGAATTACCTTTTTGGTGTGAGTTTTCCATACACTTTTTATATGTTCCACGAAATGCAAGTCATTGTTTCCCCATCAAATGCACTATTCTACTAATGTTTCAACAATGTACATTTGTTGTCGGTTTTTTTAAGTGCTACTGCTTAGTAATGGAACTTTTTTTTTTGGATCTTCGAAACGACAACAAACGCCATTAGCTTGTTTGATAGCTTCTTTATGGTATCTATTGCCTATGTATAGTTTTTTGTTTCTCTAAAAAATTGTGCCATTCCTTATTTCCACGGTTAACAAATTTTTTTATTATCCTGCTTTAGAAATAAAGTGAAGTATATGCAGTAGACTGCTTCTTCAATTTTGCTCTAGACAAATCCATTTAGTAGATATTCTTCTTTACAAGCGCGTTTGCAACCGTGTTTTAATGTTTTGGGAAATAAAAATTTATCTTCTGTATTAAGTTATTCGTAAACATTTTGTGTATTTCATGTGGTGATAATTCTTGATTTCCGCGCAAGAGTTCGTCAAAATCGTATTGTTTTTGCATCTTTTTAAAATCACATTCTTTTAAATTTGTTTGGTCTACTTCGCATAACAAACTTTTGTTAACATTATTATCATCTTTAATGACTTCCTTATTTTCTTCTATTCCAAATAATGTTTTATCGGTTACATTTTAAGAACTGTCGATAATAAAAAACACTTAAAACGTAACTAATTAATAACAAAGTTATATTAAAGTTTGTTATTACTTGCTTTTTATTGTAATGTTTACGCGAGTTTTTTGATTTTGGTATAGTTTAAGATCTTAAAGTTTAAGATCTTAAAGTTTAAGATCTTTAATTTAAGATCTTAAACTATACCAAAATTAAAAAAACTCGCGTAAACATTACAATAAAAAGCAAGTAATAACAAAAGTACTATCATAAAAAAATTTAACGTATAGATAATATTTATATCTAAATCTAGTTAATATCTATATCTAGTTAATATCAAACTAATTATTATAAAAATAAGGTCAAAATAACGTTTTTACTTAAAATATCCAACTAATGAATTGCATTTCTTTGCAGCATTTTGAAGCTCTTTTCTATAAGCTCGTTTTCTAATTTGGTTAGGTATGTTAACTCTATCGTTTGCTTTTAAAAGTGAATTAGTATTAGTAGAGAATTGTAATAACAGTATAAACTCTGGCGAGACTATTTTTTATTTTTCGTTTACAAAAGATTTCTTAATGCAATGACTTGTAATGACGCCTTACATTTGTGAAACAATGTAAAAATTGTTTCAAGAGAATGTTTTATAAAAATCAAATAATTATCATTTTGACATCAAAAAGAGTCTAAAAATAATGTTTGGTATATCAGGCCCACGGTATGGGCCTGATATACATACATACATACATACATATATATATATATATATATATATATATATATATATATATATATATATATATATATATATATATATATATATATATATGTATATATATATATATATATATATATATATATATATATATATATATATATATATATATATATATATATATATATATATATATATATATATGTATATATATATATATATGTATTTTTGAAAGATGACATCTTGTATGAGAGTATATTATATATTATTTTAAAACATCAAGAAATACAGTTTCTCTCAATACTAATAATTTTATTTTGTAAGAAATTTTCGCTGGGTTATGGATACCAGCATCATCAACTTGTAAAATATTAGAATAACTTTTAATCGTTATAGTTTATATAAAATTGTTACTATTGACGTCAGCGGTTGCATGGCTTCTTTTGATTTTTAAATTTTAAAAATGGCGTCCAAAACATAGTTTTTTCATATTGGCCTTCATCAAGATTAATTCCGCCGTTTCGTGCAGAGCACATGTTGTTTAGTATTTCTAGTGCCTCTCTAATTTTTCTTTCAAATTTTTTATTTTCTACTTTTAATGTTCTTTTTTTTTCCTAAATAATATTTTCTTTGCAAAAGGTTTTATGATATGCTAATGCAGATTGATTAGGTTTGTTTTCATTAATGCTCTTCTGATGTTGATGCACTCGCGTATTTACCTGCATTTTTGTTTCACCTATGTAGACCTTGGAGCAGTTGCATTTTATCATATAGGTTCCAGGGTGGCTGTTACTTGGTCGTTTTGATTTGTTTTTTGATGTTAATAAAGATCTTAAATTTGGGTTTGATTTAAATACTGCTCTATACCCTGCTTTTCGGAATAATTTTCGAAGTTTTGGTGAAAGGCCTGGTACCCATGGTAAAGACACTACAGGAAGATTATTGTATTCTGATGGAATTGTATTTTTATTTTGTCTTTTTTGATAAAATTAATGTGTAATATTCCTCAATAGCTTTTCATCGTACCCATTTTCAACAAACATGTCAGTTAAAAAATTTATTTCATTTTGCAAATGATCCTTACTACAGATGGAGTAAGCTCTGTGGAAAAAACCTTTCAATATAGCTGTTAAAATATTTGGATCGTGATTTAAATGCGGTTTAATTTGAATGTTAGTGATTACCTCTTTTCGATATACTTTGTACTCATATTTTTCTAGTGTATTATTTGTAATGGTTATATACATACATATATATACATATATATATATATATATATATATATATATATATATATATATATATATATATATATATATATATATATATATATATATATATATATATATATATATATATATATATATATATATATATATATATATATATATATATATATATATATATATATATATATAAATATATATATATATATATATATATATATATATATATATATATATATATATAAGTAAAAAGCGTTATCAAAAACAGTTGTTGAACAAACATCGACTATCGTCGCCATCACAAAGCGAATCCAACAACTTGAGCAAAAACCCTCTGCTTCCTCAACTACAACAAAA